GAAGGGAAGGGAAGGGAAGGGAAGGGAAGGGAAGGGAAGGGAAGGAAAGGAAAGGAAAGAAAAATTCTGATATTGGGATGCAAGACATGTAGACAGTATCAAATCTAAACACTACTACTGTTTTTGAGACAGAGTCTCACTATGTAGACCAGGCTGGCCTCTGCTTCCCAAGAGCTAGGATTAAAGATGTGCATCACCAAGCCTAGATTTGCACATAATTTCTTAACCCAAACCAATCAAAAACCGAAACATTTTATTTTATTATTTTTTTTTTGTCTTTTTGAGACAGGGTCTCCCTGTAGTGCGAGCTGTCCCGGAAATCACTATGTAGACCAGGCTGGCCTTGAACTCACAGAGATCTGCCTGTTTCTGCCTCCTGAGTGCTAGGAGGCATGAGCCACCACACCCGGCTTTTTTGGTCTTTTTGAGACAGGGTCTCCCTGTAGCCCCAGCTGGCCTGGAGCTCACTATGTAGACCAGGCTGGTCTTGAACTCACAGAGATCCACCGGCCTCTGCCTCCCGAGTGCTGGGATTAAAGGAGTGCGCCACCACACCCGGCTTCAAAAAAAAATTTATGGAGCAGTGTGAAGAAGCACCGAGAACGACCCCCGGACCGACCAAAGCCGCGCACCGCTGCAGCCCGGCGTCCAGCGCCTGCGTCCCCGCCGTCGTCGCCATGCCCAAAAGAAAGGCTGAAGGGGACGCCAAAGGAGATAAAGCCAAGGTGAAGGACGAGCCACAGAGAAGATCTGCAAGATTAACCGCTAAACCTGCTCCTCCAAAGCCAGAGCCCAAGCCTAAGAAGGCACCTGCAAAGAAGGGAGAGAAAGTGCCCAAAGGGAAAAAGGGAAAAGCTGATGCTGGCAAGGATGGGAATAATCCTGCAGAAAACAGAGATGCCAAAACAGACCAGGCACAGAAAGCCGAAGGTGCTGCAGACGCCGAGTGAAGCTGTGCGTTTTTGATGACTGTGTACTTCTGGTGACTGTACAGTTTGAAATACTATTTTTTATCAAGTTTTATAAAAATGCAGAATTTTGTTTTACTTTTTCTTTTTAAAGCTATGTTGTTAGCACACAGAACACTTCATTGTTTGAGGGGGGAGGAACATGTGTCACTAACAAAATGTCTCCCAAGCTGGATTGATGTGGGGGAATCACCTTTCCCTGCTAGTTTTTGAAGGACTCCTCTTGGCTCCCGGGAGGGTATTTCCTAATGCTGGTACCATGTGGCCACCTTGGCACATAATGCCTTGTGGCATGAGAAAATTCAAAATTGGTTTTTATATCCTCCTCTACCTCCACCTTCAAATCAACATAGACTTAACTCCCTTAAAATGGGAGACTTGTTGGGACCAGCCCCCCTAAATTGGTTTTGCCAGTACATTGGGCAATCTGGACTTCGCAGGGATATTATTGGGATGGTTCCTCAGAAGAGCAGTGGTTCCTTTTCTAAAAGATTGTGGATCTTCAGATTGATAATTCTGCCATGTTCATTTCATTTCCTGAAAGTCAGGGTCGGCTTGTGAAAAGTTGTTAAACAACATGCTTAATGTGAAATGTCAGCCCTCACTCTAAACTTCCCCCAATCAGAGCATCAAATAAAGACTTCACTGGATTTTATAGTGGCTTTCTGATTTTGGTAGTCCATACAAGAAGGGAGTTTGAAAGTTCTTGTATACTGTTAATGATTGTCTGCCCATGTCCTGCCTGAAATACCATGACTGTTTATGAAAAGTATCTTTAATAAAGATGGATACAGTTTGGCTTGGAAAAAAAAATTTATAATGAAAATAATGAAAAATATTTTAAAAGACTTTATTTATTTATTTATTTATTTATTTATTTATTTATGTGTGTACATGTGTGTGCACATGCATGTGCACAGGCACAGACACGTGGGTATCAGAGGACAAGTCACAGGAAGTGGTTCTCTCCTTCTACCATGTGGGTCCTGGGGATCAAACTCAGGTCATCAGGCTTGGTGGCAAGCACCTTTTCTCAATGAGCCATCTGTTGACTTTAGAATGTCATAATGTTGGGGGGTGGGGCACTGGAGAGATGGATCAGCAGTTAAGAGCACTGGCTGCTCTTGCAGAGGAACAGGGTTTGGTTCCCAGCACCCACATGGTAGCTAACAACCATTCATAACTCCAGTTCCAGGTAGTCCAATGCCCTCTCTGGCCTGTGAAGGCATTGTATGAATGGATGCAGTTACACACATGTAGGCAAAATAATAATACACATAAAAGAAAAATAAATTTAATTAAAAGGGGGAGGTCAAGATATCTCAGTGAGTAAAGGTGTTTGCTTGCCAAACTTGACAACCTGAGTTGGATCCCTGGAGCCCACATGATGGAAAGAGAGAACCAACTCCTGCAGGTTGTCCTCTGACTGCCCACATGCATGCTATGACATGCGTGCCTACCCACCACACACACTAAAAATAAATAAATTTAAGAAAAAGAAAAAGGGAGCGTAGCAGTGAGTGCCTGTAATCTCAGTGCTCAGGAAGTTGAGACAGGAGGATTGGCAGTCTGAGGCCACCCTGGACTAAATAGCAAGACTGTCTCAGAAAAAAAAAAAAAAAAAAAAAAAAAAAAGTGCCAGACACAGTGGTTCTCACCTGTAATGCCAGCACTTGGGAGGCTGAGGCAGGAGGACTGCTGCAAGTTCAAGGCCAGCCCGGGCTACAAAATGAGACCCTGTCTCAAAAGAAAAAAAAAGCAGAAAGTATAATACAAAAAAAAAAGGAAATATAGGAGGAGATCTGGAATATGATCAAAATACATTGTATGAAATTCTTAAAGAATCAGTACAAATAAGCAATGGAATACAGAAATTGACTACTGATATTTTATTTATTTTTATTTTGTGTATGAGTGTTATGCCTGCATGTATATAAGTGCACCCATGTCATACAGTGCCCAGGAAGGAAAGAAGACGGCGTCTGATCTCCTGGAACAAGTTACAGATGGTTGTTAGACACCATGTGGGTACTGGGGTTCAAAACCCGAGTCTTCTGCATCTTAACCATTGAGCCATCTTGCCAGCCCTATTGATGTTTTCTTAAGTTATAAGATCTAATATGAGCTGGGCATGGTGGCACATGCCTTTAGTCCCAGCATTTGGGAGGCAGAGGGAGGTAGATCTATATGCGTTCAAGGCCAGAGACCATCTCAAAAAAAATACAATAGGTTTAACTTTTACATTCTCTGACACAAAGCTAATAACTTTAGCATATAAAGAAGTACAAATCAGGATCTGGAGAGATGACTCAGAGGTTAAGAACACTGACTGTTCTTGCAGAAGACCCAGGTTTAAATCCCAGCACCCACATGGCAGCTAAAAAATGTCCGTAACTCCAGTTCCAGGGGATCTGACAGCCTCTTCTGTCCTCCTTGGGTATTGTATGACATGGGTACACTTACCTACATGCAGGCAATACATGCATACATATGAAATGAAAATAATAAATATATTTTTTTAAGTACAAATCAAGCCAGGCGTGGTGGCACACGCCTTTAATCCCAGCACTCGGGAGGCAGAAGCAGGGGGATCTCTGTGAGTTCAAGGCCAGCCTGGTCTACACAGTGAGTTCCAAGACAGCTGGGGCTACAGGGAGACCCTGTCTCAAAAAAAAAGAAAGAAAGAAAGAAAGAAAGAAAGAAAGAAAGAAAGAAAGAAAGAAAGAAAGAAAGAAAGAAAGAAAGAAAGAAAAGAAAGAAACACCTCTTTAGCCTTGGTAGTAATCATGCACAGAAAGTGAAAACAAATGGCCTTGCATGCCTAGGTAAGGGTAATTATCCTGAACTGTCCTAAACAGACCCCAAATCTGAGTCCCGAGGAGGATTTCAGTCCAAGGGAGGGCTGCCTTTTAGCACAGCAATGGTCTTTTAACCAGACTCACTCTGGAACGGTAAGTCATGCCCATCTCCCTTTATTCTAGTGCTGAGCTCACTAAGGAATCTGTGTACTACTGAGCCTCTTGCCAAGAAGAGAACTCCTCTCAACAGTGACTCCACATAGTCTGATGGGAGCGATGGAGCAGCCACTCTCGTGACTTGCATTCCGCATGTCAGTGTTTTCTGTATTTGGTTAGGGTAGGTCAGGTCTCCCACACAGTATAATAACAAAGCCTACTTCTTGGTATACACAGCTGAGACCAGACCATGGTCATCCATGACTGTATGCAGAGCAGGGAGAACCAGAAGATGAAACATACTAAGAGGCACCTGCCCTGTCTCTGCTAACATCCTGGAAGTGCAGTAAAGACTGTAGAGAGAAATCACAGGGAAGGATGATGGGAGAAGTGATGAAGGTCTGTTACCTGGCAAGAATGGCTGAGCACCCTCATGACACTCTCCAGACCCCTTGGAAGCATTGTTGGGCCCTGCCTAAATTCTCCAAAGAAATCAGAGAAACACAGTCTAGGAAAGAAGCTGCTAATCACAAAGCCACAAAGGTAACAGGAGAATGGGAACAGGGATAAAGTCATGCTGAGAATGTAAGGGGCAGCCTTCTAGAGAGCCACAGAGAACAGGTGTTAGTCACGTGACATCAGCCAAGCGGAGAATAAAGTACTAAGACTTGCCAGATGTTGGAAGTCCACGGCTTCTTAAAATACCTTCCAGCTGTTTGATGTAGTTGTCCTTGAGGTCTAGGAGCTGATTCAGCCTCTCCACCTTTTCCTCGTGATCCCGGCTTTCCTTATCAGCCTTTCTCATCATGGCCTCCAGTTCCTCCTGAAACAAAATAAGGGCTGAACTACTCTGTCCCAGTGGCCCAGAACCAAACAGCCCAGATTGGGGGAAAAAAAGGGTGGCACTTCCCAGGGAGGAAAAGACTGCTATCTCCTCGGCAGAGCACGTTCAGAAGAAAAGCTTGGGTTTCCCAAGACCCTTCAAGCGCAGTTGTACTTGTGGCAACCTAGGGTGATATTTCCCTAGGACTCTAGGGGAAAATGAACCCTGAAGTTTCACACTTCCCATTTCATGAGCTGGCTGGCCCCTTCACTGGCTTTTAGGGCCGGGGTGGCTGAGTCAAGCTCTTTTATGGACAGCATATCACCAACCACCAACCCTAGAAACCTGGATCTTGCTTGCTTCGCAGTGTGTGTGTGTGTTTTTCCCGTGTGCCCAGTTATTTGCCCCTTTCCTGTGCCATCTGTTTTTGCACCTGATAACACATGTTGATTTTGTGCTGTAGGAGAAGCATGTCTCTGGTCTTTTCTAGCTCCAATGTGGTCTCTGCATGCGACACCTGCAACTCACTTAGCATTTCAGGCAGTTTATCTTCTTGAACTTTTGGTTCACTGAACTATAAAGGTGAAAACATTGGTAAAAGACATGAGAATAGATGCAGTCATAACTTTCTCTCCAAAGCAACTGTTGGTAGTTGTAAAACGTCAACAGCAAATTTTCGCCCAGAATTCAAAAGGCCTGTTTCACTTCACAAGAATTCTGCCCCCAAGCCTCGGTCAGTGCGTCCATGCGTCAGTGTGTCCATGCTCTGTGCATCAGTGTATCAGTGCATCGGTGTGTCTGTGCATCCATGTGTCTGTGTGTCCGTGTGTCAGGTCAGGGAGGCTGCAGTTTCCAAATGGCAATTTGGAATAGCTGGACAGATGGCTCAGAGGGTGAAAACACTTAGTGAAAGCCTGATGGCCTAATCCCTGGAACCCACATAAAAGAGGAAGGAGAGAACAGACTCCACAAAGTTGTCCTCTAATCACACATGTACCATGGCACATGTGCCCATACACACATGTCATGTACACATACAAAATAATAATAAAATTGAAGTGGCAGTTTGTTCTTCAGTAGATCACTCAAGTTCTCATCTAAAGAAGAGTCTACATCTGAGCTATAAAGCACTGTACAGTGTGGGGGGACTCATGTAAAGGGTGGGACTCATGAAATTCTGTCTCCCAGCTTTCCAAATATGGTCCTCAGGCTGGACAGAGTACTATTCCCTGTTTTCCAGTCTCTTCATCTTTCCTGGAGATATGTGCCAGAGATCTCTCAGAAGAGAGACTTGTTTACTTCTCTCAAATCTGCTTCTTGGACTCGAACGAGCTGAGCATCCAGTTCAGATAGCTCTTCAGGAGACTGGGGCACTGCGGCTGTGGTCTGGAGGCCCTCTGCTCCCTGTTTATGCTGGCAGAGGATGTTGGTAAGTTCAAGCTTCAGATCATCATTGAGAACTGGGGAAAAAGGAATTGAAACCACAGCTATTTGTAAACCCAAAGCTGGATCAAGTGTCAAATAATGTTTCCCTCTAATGGTTAATTTTGTACATTTTCCCTAAAAGAAGCAATCCCCTTTTGTTTATACAAAAGGGTCTCTGGCTTGCCCAGCTGTCAACTGTGATATTTGCACTCCTAAAGCAAGATGAACAGGGTAGAAAAATACTCCAGGGATTGTAGAGTGGAAAGGGAAACAGGAACAACAGAAACAGTTCCCTGAGTAACCTGGACAGGTCAGTGTCGCCTTTTTAGTGGGGGAGGATGGTGCTGGGGATGAAACTCAGGGACTCATGCACTCACAACAAACACTGTGCAAGCTGCATCACATCTCCACCAAATACACCTGTTTCTCATAGTGCCTCCTATGCCAGTTTCTCACCAACTCCGTTCGTCTCTGGCTTCTCGACTTTGTTCTCTGTGACACCCAACACCAGGCCCTCCTTGGCTATAGACACAATGGGTGTGATGCCTGATTCAGGGAAGGCAGGCCACTGCTGTCCAGAGTGCAGAGCATGTGAAGCATCAGAGAAGTTGAACCAGATTGCCCCTTGTCTCCTTATAAGACAACTTGGACTTTATATGGTACAAGGTGCTTGGCACATGCTCCTGAGCTTTGTCTTTCAAATGCTACACTCTATAGGACTCTTTCTCATTGTCTGGTTTTGTTTGAGACAGAGTCTCATTATACAGACCAGGCTGGCCTCAATTCTTGACCCTCCTGGCCCAGCTTGAAGGGCTAGGGTTATAAGGACTTCTATTCTGTGTCATATTTCTTCTCCTTTACTTCCTTATTTGAATATACTAGAATCTAGTGAAATATTAATTAGATAAGATTAAACAGCAAGATCCAAAACAGGATGAAGATGGTCTTCCTTCTTTTGGGCAAGGTTTAAAAATCTTATAAATATCTCCTGTTAACCAGGCGTGGTGGCACATGCCTTTAATCCCAGCACTTGGGAGGCAGAGGCAGGCGGATCTCTGTGAGTTCAAGGCCATCCTGGTCTACATAGTGAGTTCCAGGACAGCTGGAGCTACAGGGAGACACCGTCTCAAAAAGACCAAAAAGAAAAGAAAAGAAAAGAAAAGAAAAGAAAAGAAAAGAAAAGGGCTG